ATATTATACTGAATATTAGCAAAACGCTACCTATTTGTGATAGTAGATGAAGTCATGTTTAAATCCGCTCATGGAAAACTAATGACTGTTGTTAAAGTTAAAGTTAAGAATTTTATTAAAAAAATATACATACATATATTTAAAAAGTTGTGGTGGAGTAATCGGGTAATAATAAGGGTAGTATTTATTACAAAAAATATTTTATATAATTGAGTATATAAATGCGTGCTGTATGTTAAAATATGGTTACAGTTAAATTCATTGGTGGATTTGATCCTCAGACATTTTGGTAAGTGAGGTGTCGTGCTATAAATTGTTTGATACAAATAAAGTTGAATTGGAACTATTGTAGACAATTTTCCTTTAAGCTTAATTAGTAAATGTTTTAGTTTTTGGAAGTAGTTGCTATTTTTAATTTTAATTTTCAGTTAATTACTTGGGTGGCGATGGTAAAAGTCCTGAGCATTTAGCATTACAACCAATGTACGTGAGCTGTAATAACTTTAACACCAGCTCTTCTAACCATTCATATAAGTAACATGATCACAAGCCTTTTTATAGTAATAACAGTAGTGGAGAAAATTTTTTGATTCGTGGCCATAAAACAAACCAGGCCGTGAGAACAGACCTTATTAGGTATCAAAAACCTGTTTATCGGTCATGTTCTTATGATAGGCTTGGACAACCGCTCAATTTTAATAAAAAACGCAAAACAAGACCTCAGTCTTTACACTTTGTTGAGTATTAATGTCATAATTTATTTATTTAAATTCTGTGATTTATTGATAAATATTGATTTTGTGCGAAAACTAACCAAAGTGATTATTTCTTTATTAATTTATTCTTGACGATATAGACATGGGCTATATAATGTACTAAAGAATAAGAAGTATTTATGAAAGTGGACTTAAAGTACTGTTTCTTCTTGCCAATTTTATTTATTATTTTATTGAAAGTGATAATTATTTTGTCCACCACTAGACCTTTATTCATTTTTTGGTAGCTAGCTAGTGAAAAATGTTGTTACTAATTGAACACAGCACCTGCTTATTGCATGTTCTTTTATTTACTAATTTTAAGCTTTATTTGTTGTATTGTAGTTTGAGCTCGTTTCCAGACTAATAAAAATTTTTATGTTCGTTTGATTTAGTTTTTATCTTACATTCACCTACATAAACTTTATTCATTAATTTGCACCTAAACTATAATAAGGCCTTTGGCGTATTTTTGCTATTTGGTTTAACAGTTATCATTTTCATTCATCATTCTTCATATCTAACTGTATTTTCAAATAACCTCTCATGTAAAAAACTATAAGCAACAAAGCAAAATGAGGTATCAGTATCAATGAGATTGTATTATCCAAAGTAAAAAGTAAACAGATAATAATTTAATTAAAAAAATAATATCTAGTATTTTGTCACAAGTTTTACAAATTATTTATTTAGAGGTATTTTTATATAATTCTGTTGCCCAAGATCCTGATATACTATCATTAGTTTTGTCTTCTTGGAATTTGTTTTCCAAAAATCAAAAGTTAACAAAATAAATTGAACTCCGTTTCATAATTTAACAAACAGTTTCTTTCTGAAGTCACTGGGTGAACATGTTGTCGAATGACATAACTTGAAATTTGAATTTTGTCTACTTAAGTTTAAATAAGACAGGTTTTTATTTATGGTAAATTATTGTTAGGCAGAATTTTGGACCCCTTACAAGGTGAGTTTCGAAACAAATCCAAATCTTCGAATACAAATTTCTTGTTTGGAACTCCCATATGGGGTGGTAAAATATATAGTATATACCTGTACTTTTATTTAATCAGTTAATGTGATACAGCATTAGGTTTAACGTAAGACGATGTTAAAGTTGCTATTTTTAACAATATGCGATCTATAATGTCGCTGTATTGTTATAATAATTTTTCTAAAGTAATTATATTTCTGCAGCACCACGTAATGTATCCCAGAAAAAGCCAAAAGGACGGTCTTTGTACTCCATAGAATTCAGTCCTCAATATGAAGGAAGACAAGGTGATAGTGACAGTGCTGATTATGATCATGATCATATTCCTCACGCTGTTTCTCCAAAACCGATGACTCCACGGAGAGTTAAAAGACGTAGTGTAATGCAAAGGGGTTCCAGTGGACGTTATAGTACGAATAGTAGACGACATTCTACTGCTAGGTCTTCAACACGAAGCTCACGAAGAACCGCACAAAATCCTGTTACAAAACTTTTAGAACAGCAGGAGAAAGTACAAGCATACGGTAATCCAACAAATCAGTCTCAAACGGAAGCTCTTCCTAGTTATTTTAGTGTATCGAATAATAATTTATGGAAAAACAATGGGCATACTAATCCCACTTATCAGCAGTCATCAGTGCAGTCCTTAAATGAATCTGATGATTTCGATGAACTGTATAACAATAGACCTGCTTCTGTTAGGTCAAGTTATTCTAATTTTCATGGCACAAGAGTTTTAAATAATTCTGGGCCACAAATGTTTAATAATCACGCAACTGCTCAAGTTCCTCAGAAACGAAACAATCCTAATCGACAAAGCTTGCGTTCAAAGTTATTTCTAAGTAATGGACCTCCTGCATATAATGCTCAAGGTTCTGTTGATTCGGAAACAACTTTTTAAATTTAGAAATCTTATTTTGATTGATGGACATAATATTATTTATTTAGTTGTAATAGTTTAATTTCTTTTTATAAATAATAATTATAG